AGGACCAGTTGGCTGATAAATTATGGTAATTTGTTATGGCTTATGCAGATTGAAAATAATAGATATATATGTTTAATATTCAGAAAACATATTTAACAAAAATACCCATAAAATATCTATCTGAAAATACATACATGTATGGATGTATTCCTACTTGTTTAAATAAAGTTAAATGCAGAGGTAATATTCATCTCTCTTTCATATTTCTCTTTTTGTGTTTGTACATTTTCTTCATATTAATCCATTTCTTACAAGTACCACTTCCTTTTACAAATAGAACTTGTTTCATGTAATATTTTTTACTGCTATAAATAATTATGGATAGAAAATGGAAGCTCCTCTAAGTTGACTCCCTCCTCATTAGCAGTGCCCTTGCCATTTAAAAGCCTCTCTTGCTTCCTGGCAACAATGTGATGTTACAGGCCTGTTCTGATTTTATCCTGCCAAGGACATTGAATTGAATATCCTCTAATGGTTTCCTTTCCATTTTTTTTTTAAATAGAACATTTTTAAAGACCAAACTTTTTGTGCTAAAGATGCTTGCAGAAATCTAGGGGGTAAAAAAAACAACAGCTTCTGTACTGTCACTCATGGTAACTGACTGAGCTGAAATGAAAATACTTAATATGTGTATAAAATCTTAACCCTTCCAGTCTACCATATCATGCTGTTATTCCATTCTCTCCCTCTCTCTTTCTCCATCCCTCTCTCTCTCCCTCTCTGCCTCCCTCTCTGTCTCTGTATGTCTCTGTCTCTATCTCTCTTTTTTAACACAAGAGGAACTTTATTAGAATACACCAGGTTCTTTCTGGTATTTGAATCACTGTAATGAATCAATAGTGAGAAGTGCACATCCCTGAAGAGTAGTGTTATCATTCTGTCATTACAAACTTCTATTCTGATGCTGGATTCTGCATGAAGAGATTATCCCAAATGATAGTTTTCCTTGCACCCTGCATATGGAATTAGAATGTCGATTTATGTCTGCTTGGTGTGTGTGTGTGTGTGTGGGGAGGGGAGAGATGTCTTACTATATACCTAAGGCTCGCCATGAACTGGTGGTGATCCTCCTATCTCAACCTTCAGAGTGCTGTAAGTAAGGTGTACAACACCATACCCCACTTTTCCCCCTCAGGCTGCTGTTAGAACTAGAGCCCAGGCATTTTAGACAAGTTGTCTATTGATTTACACTCCCAGTTCTTTCGGCCAGCTTTTTTATCTTACATTCCTTTATTGTGGCACCAAACTTGTAGAGCATATGTTAGCAGACGTTTCATGAGTTCATTCATACCTATCCAAAATGGCTCAACAGCTGGAATACTGCATAAGTTGACTTTGCTTTCTGAAGGCTGTTTTGTAGTGTAACTACAAGATTCCTCCAGGTTCTTTGTGATCGTACAATGCAGAGAATTTTCTAGAACATAATCCTCCCAAGATTTTGCCTACTCCAAACCTAGGACCATGGCCAAGGCTGTCTTCTTCTCATTTCAACCACATAAATTTTCAAACCATAAACATATCCTCCTCATGCCTGGCTACTCTTCCACACAGGAGTTGTGATTTGGATTTAACATATTCCCCACAGGTTCATAGCTTAGTCTGTATTGCAGAAATGTTCAGAGGTGAAACTTTTGGGAAGTGATTGAATCATGGCTGCTGTGACCTCATCAGTAGATTAACACATTCAATGATGAATTATGAGCTTCTGGGATAATAGGAGGTGATGAAAATTTAGGAGGTGGGACCTAGGCAAAGCCACTAGATTTCGGGGCATCTGTATACACTTTAGGAAGTCATGCATGTTTAAAGAAATTTAAAATATGACAGATAAAGTCAAACATACGTCTCTTATGAGATTATAGGTATCATAAAATTAATTGTCTTTAAATATGTACTTAGTAGTTGGTTATGATTTAGATCTTATTGAGTTGTCTACTTCCATTGAGCTACTTTCCACAGCAGAGTTAGAAACTTGCATTCTACTGGGAAGATTGTTTGTATTATGATTCCCAAGAAAGGAAAAGAAAATATAAAATTATTTAAAAATAGCTATTAGTGCCTTGGTTCTTAAACTTTGAATGGTTATCTGAAACACTAAGGAGTTCAGAAGTCATCATTTATATTTGGAGAAAGTTCTGTTACTCAGCACAAAGTACAGGTCAACAAAGATTCATCTCATCATTTCCTCTCTAAATCCTAACTTTGATTATATCTGTGCAGTTCATTTGGGGAAGGTTCTGAGGATTGGAACACGGGCATTTTTGCAACCCATTATTCTGTTTACCACAGGATCCTTATTACTGGTAGCTGGATGCTCTACTACATGAGATTTTACTAGGAAATATTTACTGGTGAATCATTTTATATTCAGAGTATTTGAGATACCTTTTATTTTAATTGACTCAAAGTATTCTCTACAATCTATTATAGGCTCTTACCTCAGAAGCACTTTATATTCTTGATTTTTTCCTAAATTGTTAGTATTCTAAGAAAAGAATCAATGAATGGTTTTTTTAAAATATTGGTAGCTTTGGTTCTCTTTTTAGTAAGAAGCTCAAACTTTAATGTGCAAATTTGTACTTGGAGATCCAGTTACAGTGGGGATTATTCATCAGTAAATCTGGATGGACTCTGAGATCCCATGTCACTCCTAATTATCCAGGTGCTACCAATACTGATATGAAGAACAGTGTGCTAGTTTTTGTTTTTGGCCTTAGCTGGAAATTGACATCTCCTTGGAAATTAAACAAACAAACAAACAAAAAACACTGATCCCTAAGTACCATTGCCTAGAGATTGATTTTTCTGACATAATAAATACTACATAGAGTGAGCATCAAAAATTTCAAAAACATTCCAAGTGATTTTCATGTGGAGCAAGATTTGAAATGCCTTGTCTTAGTACACCACCAAAAGATAACAGACACTATGTATTTTTTTAAATATTTTATTAATTCCTTAAGAATTTGATATATGTTTGATCACATTCACCCCTTTTCTTCCCCCCAATCCTTCAAAATCCACCCCATCACCCGACTAACACCCAACTTTTGTCCTATTAAAAACAATAACCCACGGAATCCATTTTTTTTTTTTTTGGTTTTTCGAGAGAGGGTTTCTCTGTGTAGCTTTGCGCCATTCCTGGGACTCACTTGGTAGCCCAGGCTGGCCTTGAACTCACAGAGATCCGCCTGGCTCTGCCTCCCGAGTGCTGGGATTAAAGGCGTGCGCCACCACCGCCTGGCGGAATCCATTTACTGCCCTTATACCCCTCAGTATAGGGCTATCCACTGGAGTGTGGGTTGAGCTACCAGGAACCACACTCCTAAAGAAAATTAACCCTTTCTCCCCCATCAAATGAGCCATCAACTGTCCTTAGCTTCTCAGTGGTAGGGGCTCATAAACCCCTTCCTACTCCACGCTAGAATGTTGATTGCCTTGATTACAGGCAGGTCTTGTGCAGGCAACCGCAGCTGCTGTGAGTTCATGAGTGAAGTGGTCCTGGCATGGCCAGGGGACACTGATTTACTATTGTGTTCTCCAACCTCTGGTTCTTGCAATTTTTCCAACTCTTTCCTCTGCAATGGTCTCTGAGCCTTGGGGAGGAGTGACATCACCTAAAGTATAAAGTGGCTTTTTATTCACGTATTTCATGCTATAATGCACAATGTACTTCCATAGTTTCGAGCTACAATTTATCTGGATTCCTCTACTGATGCCCTAACTATGGAGAAACTCCGATCAATAATAAAATAAAAAAGAAGTAAAACAATAAAGTAAATTTCAGGCAGCTCAATTTATGGGTTTTAAGGATCACTCCCCACACCTTTTTTTGTCTTAAAATGTTCTCTACTTTATTAGAGAAGGGTAACAATATATTACTTAATCATTTTTAATACCTTTGAGTTACTAGTCAGGGAGCTGGACATATTTTATAGATTTCCGGATGCTTTTGGAAAGTTTGTTCATCAAAAAAAAAATCTGGAAGTCTAGGAATCATAGCTGTGAGCAATCCACAAACATTTGAAAGAATTAAAATGTCTAGGAAATGTTTAAATGTGAATATATTTTTCAATCTTTGATCCTGTAAGCAAGAAATATTTGGAGAACCTCGAATTTTATAAGCACCAGAGTTCATTTTGAGCTGTTAGTAAAGGCCTACTATGAAGCATACTTCAAGATGGAATTGGCCATGCAACACATATATTAGGGGAAACATCCTATGGAAGATAAAAGAGGTGGAAAGCCTGAAGGAATTGGGATAGAGCCTTCATGCCAGCATGCAGGACTTACCTCCATACAGGAGAAAGTAAGGAAGAAGAGATGGGTAGGAGTAGGAGACGTCCAGGTGGCAATGCAGCTTTGAAAAGGACTTGGCTGGGCTTTGGGGATCTCCAGAGGGAAGACTATATGGTCCAGCTCTATTCCCCTGTGGAGAAGGTGGACTTGGCTTTGATGCTGCAGATGCAGAATGTATGACATCCAGAGTCTGTCAGTGGATGGTTTTCTATACAGCAGGTTCTCTATTGTAGGACAGTCTGTGTGTGTTTCTACAGCTGCTACTTGGATGCTTTATATTTCAGAGAAACAGTGAAATGTTTCCCCTGTGGGCTAATGTAAGAGAAAATTAGCCACATATGAAGTATTAATGTTTCTTTGAATGTCTTCTTTTTGGTCTTCTCCCTTTAAACTTAGATAAACTGACAAACTGGCATTTATCAATTATAATTTATCATGTTGGCTGGGCTCAAAATATATTTCTTATCTCCACAAAATTCTGACATGGTCACTGGATAACACATAGGTGGAACAATATCTGTTTTCTATAATAACTATATGTTTAGTGTTAGTTTTTTGATCTGTCATGTTCATAGGTATATTGTAATGCATATTTTACTTTGTTAGCAGTTATTCATATCTTTAAAGAGCTTTTATTAAAGAAGCAGTTATTAGTTATTTAGCAAAACTTGCTTAGAATGTCTCTTCTTGGTTTGCCACAGTGTGTTATCTAGCATGACAGACGCAGTGTTAGCTCGAGTGTATAAACAATCAGATCTGGACACCCTGGCTAAGGAAGCATCCATCCCAATTGTCAATGGACTCTCAGACTTGTATCATCCTATCCAGATCCTGGCTGATTACCTCACACTCCAGGTTGGTGTATTTCTTTTCTTTACAAAACAGAAAAAAAAATCAGCAAATAATTCCAGACTACCATCAAGTGGAAACATTTACTTAAATGATGTTTAATCATTATTGTGAATGACTTCTATCTTAAAAATAATTATAGCATATGTGTGAATGGTATAGATCTAGAAAAGAGTGCATTACTATAAACAGACTGTTTGATCCTTTTCTTCTCAATCCCATTTCCAAACCCCTTCTAGCCCCTCTCACATCATCTATTCTTTCAATCACTTTGCTCTCTGTTGCTCAGTTTAACAATGGATGAATAAGGAATACAACTGCATGTAGAACTGACATAAGAGTGTCAACTTGGTAGGCTCTAGAATCACCCAGAAGACAAGCCTCTAGATATGTCTATGAGGGACTATCTACAATAGGTCAGCTGAGGTGGGAAAAGCCACATTAATTATGGGCAGCACTATTCCATGACCTGGTGCTCAGAAGTGAAAGAAAAGAGAAAGTGAACTAAATACTGTTATTCATCTTTCTCTCTGCTTCCTGACTATGGATGCAGTGTGGCTAGCTGCTGCAAGCTCTGGTTGCCTTGACTTCCCCACAATGACAGACTGTATCCTTGAGTCTTTGAGCCAAAAGGATACCTTTCCTTCCTTAAGTTGCTTTTATCAGGTATTTCATCCTGGCACTGTGAAAAGTAACCAATATAGTGATCCAACATTCACAAGACTCTGTAACTTAGAAATGAAGATCAGAGGAGTTCAGTTCAAATGCTCGAGATGGTCTATTACTGCTTGGTAATATAAAGAGGAGAACATTTTCTGTCTTTTTATACATTGATTAAAAGTAGAATGAAGAATATGTAGACTTTGTAGAGTTAAGGCTCTAACTCAGCCATGTGCTCCTACATCAGGAACTTGAATAACTTTTAAGACTTACATTATTTGATTAGACACAGCCAAACTGCATGTTTTTGTCACTTGGAATCTTAACAGTCAGGATTTCTGTGTATCTGGATGATTTTGAGGAGACAGGTCAAACTGGATAAGCCCATCTTCCCTCTCATTTGAATAAGCTGTGAACATTGAAATGAGAGGTCAAGCCAAAGAAACACTGTTCAGAGACGAAGACAAGCTCCATGCAAAGAAGACAAAACAATGATGTCAGATGGATAGTTGCTGTTGTTTAGTGAAACCCATGCAGACACTAGATAGCCTCGTGTTTCTCACTGGGACTTTATCATTATTAAATCATGAGCTCACCGGGGGTGGGGCATGAGCTGTTTCTACTCATCATAGGGTCTCTTGCTGGCCCTGTGCAATGCTTTCACCAAGGAGACACCAAAACAGGATTTCAAAGAGCATGAAGTCTAAGTGAGATGAACTTGGCTTCACATCCTTGCTTAGCCACCCAGTAGTTTCATAATCTCCAAACTATTTAGTCTTTCTCCTTCTTCTTTGAGCTTTACAAATATTTAACTCTAAATATATTAAGCCTACAAACATTTCAAGACAAATAAACACTGGGGCCGATGGGATGACTCAGTGAGTAAAGGCACTTGTCACCAAGACTCATTACCCAAGTTCAATTCTGGGAAAGCACATGGCAGAAGAAGACAACTAACCCTGGAATTGTCCTATGACCCCTACACACATGCTGTAGCATGAACTTGCCATCCCTCCATAAAAGAAATATTTTTAAACATAAAAAACAAAAATAAAAACAAATTCTTTTTATTATTTTTTCTTATTAAAATTTTCCATTTATTTTACATACCAAGCACAATTTCCCCTCCCTCCTTTCTTCCCATTCCCTCCCCCTGTCTACCCATACCCATCCACTCCTCCTCCATTCAGAAAGGGGCAGGCCTCCCATGGTAGTCAACAAAGCATGGCATATCAAGTTGAGGCAGGACCAAGCTCCTCCCCCTGTATCAAGGCTGGGCGAGGCATCCCAGCATGGGGAATAGGTTCCAAAAAGCCAGCTCATGCTCCAGGGACAGTGTCTGGTCCCACTGCTGGGGTCCCCACAAACAGACCAAGCTACACAACTGTCACCCACATGCAGAGGGCCTAGGTTGGTCCCATGCAGGCTCCTTAGCTGTCAGTCCAGAGTCTGTGAGCTCCCACGAGCTCGTGTCGGCTGTCTCTATTGGTTCTCCCTTCATGATCTTGACCCCCCTTGCTCCTACAATCCCTCCTCTCTCTCTTCAGAGCCAAACCACAAAAAGATGCAACAAAGAAAGAGAATTACAGACCAATGTCCCTCGAGTACATTGATGTAAAAATACTCAATAATATACTGACAAACTGAATCCAAGAACACTACCATTACCACAGCACATCTTGGAGGCAGGACAGATTATAGGTCGAAGGTTTTATGGCTTTGTTGGTGCCCCAGTCTCACTTCTGGAAGCCTTGCCTAGTTACAAAAGATTGCCATTTGGGGCTTTGTATCCCCCATTAGTAGGAGTCTGGTCACTCTCAAAGGTTTCTGAGAATTTCCACAGCACTCAGTTCCCACGTCACCCCCATACCCCCTCTACCACCTCCTTCCCCACCTGAACCCTCCTGTTCCCATCCCCACCCACCCCCAGTTCCCCTACAAAATCTATTCTATTTCCACTTCTCAGGGAGATCCATGTACCCACCCACCCCCTTGAGCTCTCCTTGTTACTTAGCCTCTCTGGATCTGTGGATTGTACATGATTATCCTTTTCTTTACAGCTAATATCCACTCATAAGTGAGTACATGCAAAGTTTTTCTTTCTGAGTCTGGATTACCTCACTCAGGATGATTGTTTTTTCTAGTTTCATCCATTTTGCCTGCAAATTTCATGATGCCATTGTTTTTAATAGCTGAGTAAAAGTCTTTTGTATAGATGTACCACATTTTTTATCCATTCTTCTATTGGGGTATATCTAGGTTGTTTCCACTGATATGCACATAATTGACCAAATGTCGTTGTGGTAGGATGGAGCACCTTTGGTTATATGCCCAAGAATGGTGTAGCTGAGTCTTGAGTCTTGAGGTAGCTCAATTCCCAATTTTCTGAGGAACTGACAGTGATTTCCACAGTGGTTACAGAAGTTTGCACTCCCATCAGCAATGGAGGAGTGTTCCCCTTGCTCCACATCCTCACCTACATGAGCACTTGTGTTTTTTTTATCTTAGCCATTATAACAAGTGTAAGATGGAATCTCAAAGTAGTTTTGATTTGCATTTCTCCTATGGCTAAGGATGTTGAACAATTTTTTTTTAATTTTACATCACAGCTGCAGTTTCCTCCTCTCCTAGTCCCTCCTCCCTAAGCCCACTCTGTTCCTATTCCCCAATCTGCTCCTTTTCAGTTTCTGTTCAGGAAAGGGCAGGTCTCCCATGGATGTCAACAAAGCATGGCATATTAAGTTTCAGTAAGACTAAGCACCTCCCCATGTATTAAAGCTGGGCAAGGCAACCTACTATGAGGAGTAGGGTTCCATAAGCCAGTAAAAGAGTCAGTGACAGCATCTTCTCCCACTGGTAGGAATCTGTTTCTCAGCCATTTGAGAGTCCTCTATTGAGAATTCTGTTTATATATGTACCTATTTTTAAATTGGATTATTTGGTTTGTTGATGTCTAGTTTATTGAATTTTTAAAAAATATTTTAGATATTAGCTCTCTGTCAGATGTGCAGTTGGTGAAAATCTTTTCCCATTTTGTAGGCTGCTGTTTTGTCCTATTGATGGTGTCCTTTGCCTTACAGAAGCTTTACAGTTTCATGAGATCCAATTTATTAAGTGTTGATCTTAGTGCCTGTGATACAGGTGTTCTGTTCAGAAAGTTGTCTCCTGTGCCAATGTGTTCAAGGCTATTCCCCACTTTCTCTCTTATTAGGTTCAGTGTATCTGGTTTTATGTTGAGATCGTTGATCCACTTGGACTTGAGTTTTGTGCAGGATGATAGATATGGATCTATTAGCATTCTTCTATATGCCAACATCATTTGTTGAAGATGCTTTCTATTTTCCATTGTGTATTTCTGGCTGCTATATAAAAAAAATCAGGTGCTCACAGGTGTGTGGATTAATGTCAGGATCTTCAAATGATTCCATTGGTCCACATGTCGGTTGTTATGCTAATACCAAGTTGTTTTTATTACTATGGCTCTATAGTAGAGCTTGAAGTCAGGGATAGTGATACCTCCAGAAGTTTCTTTATTGTGCAGGATTGTTTTAGCTATCTTGAGTTTTTTATTTTCCCCTATGACACTGAGTATTGTCCTTTCAAGGTCTGTAAAGAATGCGTTGAGTTTTTTATGGGAATTGTATTGAATTTATAGATTGCTTTTGGTAGGGTGGCTATTTTTTTGTTAATCCTACTAATCTAGGAGCATGGGAGATCTTTCTTTCTGATATCTTCTTCAATTTCTTTCTTCAAAGACCTAAAGTTTTTATCATACAAGACTTTCACTTGTTGGCTTAGAGTTACCCCAAGATATTTTATATTATTTGTGGCTCTTTTGAAGGGTGTCTGTTCTCATTTATCATTTGTATATAAGAGGGCTACTGATTTGAGTTAGTTTTGTATTCAGCTCTTTCACTGAAGGTGTGTATCACCTGTAAGAGTTCCGTACTAGAATTTTTGCCCTTGCTTATGTATACCATCATATCTTCTGTGAATAGCAATACTTTGACTTTTTCCTTTCCAATTTGTATCCCCTTGATCTCCTTCAGTTGTCTTATTGCTCCTGCTAGAACTTCAAGTACTATATGGAGAGAGTAGACAGCTTTGTCTTGTTCCTGATTTTAATGGAGTTGCTTTGAGTTTCTGTCCATTTAATTTGATGTTGGCTATGGACTTACTGTAAATTGCCATTCTTATGTTTAGGTATGTTCCCTGTATTCCTGATCTCTCAAAGACCTTTATCATGAAGGGATATTGGACTTTGTCAAAGGCTATTTCAGCATCTAATGAGATGACCATGTGGTTTTTTTCTTTCAATTTGTTTATATGATGGATTACATTGACTTATTTTCATATGTTGAACCATCCCTGCATCTCTGGGATGAAGCCTGCTTCATCATGGTGGATGATCTTTTTGATGTGCTCTTGGATTTGGATTTTATTATTTTTTTGTGTCTATGTTCATGACAGAAATTGATCTGTAATTCTCTTTCTTTGATGAGTCTTTGGTTGGGTTGGGTGACTGGCCTCATAGAAAGAATTTGGCTGTTACCTCTGTTTCTATTTTGTAGAATAATTTGAGAAGTATTGGTTTTAGCTCTTCTTTGAAAGTCTGCCAGAATTCCACACTAATACCATCTGGCCCTGTTTTGTTGTTGTTTGTTTTTTAGTTTTTATTTTTGGTTGGGAGACTTAGTGACTTTTTCTATTTTTAATGCATTATAGGGCTATTTAAATTGTTTATCTGATCTTGATTTAACTTTGGTAAATGGTATCTTTCGAGAAAATTATCCATTTGTTTTAGATTTTCCAATTTGGGTGGAGTACAGGTTTTTAAAGTATGACCTAATGATTCTTTGGATTTCCTTGATGTCTGTTGTTATGTCCTCCTTTTCGTTTCTGATTTTGTTAATTTGGATATTCTTTCTGTGTCTTTTGGTTAGTTTGGATAAGGGTTTGTCTGTCTTGTTGATTTTCTTAAAGAACCAACTCTTTTTTCATTGATTCTTTGTATTGTTCTCTTCATTTCTACTTTATTGATTTCAGCCCTCGTTTATTACCTGCCCTCTACTCCTTTTGGGTGTGCTTACTTCTTTTTGTTCTAGAGCTTTTATGTGTGCTGCTAAGTTGCTAGTATGAAATCTCTCCAATTTCTTTATGTAGGCACTTAGTGCTATGAACTTTCCACTTAGCACCATTGTGTTCCATAAGTTTGGGTATGTTGTGCATTCATTTTCATTGAATTCTAGGAAGTCTTCAGTTTCTTTATTTCTGCCTTTACTCAGTAATAATCCACTAGTTGGTTTTTCAGTTTCCATGAGTTTGTAGACTTTCTGTTGTTGATATACAGCTTTAATCCATGGTGATCTGATAGGATGCAGGAGTTATTTCAGTTTTCTTGTATCTGGTGAGATTTGCTTTGTGACCAAGATTTTGGAAAAAGTTCTGTGAGGTGCTGAGAAGATATATTTTTGTGTTTGGGTGAAATGTTCTGTAGATAGCTGTTGTGTACATTTGATTCATAACATCTATTAGTTCCATTATTTCTCTATTTAGGTTTTGGCTGGATTACCTGTCCATAGGTGAGAGTGGGGTATTGAAGCCTCCCACTATCAATGTGTGAGGGTAGATATGTGACATAAGCTGTAGTATTGTTTCCTTTACAAATGTGGGTGACCCTGTGTTTGGGGCATAGACAACTTTAAAAATTGAAAGATCTTCTTGGTAGATTTTTCCTTTGATGAGTATGAGAGTATGAATTTTCCTTCCTATCTCTTTTGATTAATTTTGGTTTGAAGTCTATTTTATTAGATATTAGAACGGCTGCACCAGCTTTTTTTTTCCTTAGGTCCATTTGCTTAGAAAATCTTTTTCCATCCCTTTACTCTGAGGTAATATCTATCTTTGGTGTTGAGGTGTGTCTTTTGTATGCAGCACAAGGATGGATCCTGTTTTATAATCCATTCTGTTAGTCTGTGTCTTTTTATTGAAGAATTGAGTCCATTGACATTGAGAGATATCAATGACCAGTGATTGTTAATTCTTGTTATTTTGGTGGTGGTGGTGGTAGTGTGTGTGTGTGTGTGTGTGTGTGTGTGTGTGTGTGTGTGTGTGTGTGTGTGTGTGTTTCCCTTCATTTGGTTTTGCTGGTGTGAGATTATTAATTTCCTGTGTTTTCATGTATGTAGTTAACTTCCTTGGGTTGGAGTTTTCCTTCTAGTACCTTCTATAGGGCTAGATTTGTGTATAGATATTGTTTCAATTTGACTTTTTCATGCAATATTTTGTTTTCTCCATCTATTGAAAATTTTGCTGAGTATCTTAGTCTGGAATGGCATCTGTGGTCTTTTAGAGTCTGTAGGGCATATCTCAATGCCCTTCTACAGTCTAGGCCCTTCTGGATTTTAGGGTCTCCATTGAGAAGTTGCGTGTAATTCTAATAGGTCTGTCTTTATGTGTTACTTGGCCTTTTTTCCTTGCAGCTTTTAATATTCTTTGTTTGTTCTGTATGCTTAGTGTTTTGATTATTATGTGCCAAGGGGACTTTATTTTCTGGTCCAATTTATTAGTTGTTCTGTAAGCTTCCCATACCTTTACAGGCATGTCCTTCTTTTACTTAGGAAAGTTTTCTTCCATGACTTCGTTGAAGATATTTTTCTGGGTCTTTGAGCTGAACTTCTTCTCCTTCTATTTCTATTGTTCTCAGTTTGGTCTTTTCACAGTGTCCCAGAATTCCCGGATGTTTTGTGTCAGAAATTTTAGATTTAATATTTTTCTTTGACCTAAGTATCAATTTCTTCTATAGTGTCTTCAATGCCCGAGATGCTCTATTCCATCTCTTGTATTCTGTTGGTGATGCTTGCATCTAGTTCATGTTCACTTACCTAGATTTTTTCATTTCCAGAATTCCCTCAGTTTGTGTAGTCTTTATTGCTTCTGTTTCCATTTTCAGGTCTTGAACAGTTTTGTTCATTTACTTCAAATGTTTGTTTGACTCTTTTCTTGGCTTTCTTTAAGGAATTTATTTATTCATTTCCTCCAATTTTTTGTTTGTCCTCTCCTCGACGTCATTGAAGAATTTCTTTATTTCCTCTTTATGGACCTCTTTCATCTTCATAAAGTTGGGTTTAAGGTCTTTTTGTTATATTTCAGCTGTGTTGCAATATTGAGAGCTTGCTGTAGTGGGATAACTAGGCTCTGGTGATGACATATTGCCCTGGATGTTGTTGGCTGTATTCTTACACTGGGGTCTAGGCATCTGGGTTTGGAGTGATTTTATGTCTAGGTGCGGATTTCTGAGTTTGTCTTTGTTGGATGGGTGTGTTGTTCCTTGGCTTCTGTTTCCTCTCTGGTCTTTTGTCCAGAGTGGCTTATGGTTGAGTAGAGGGTCTCCAACCCAGTTGGGGACTGGGCTTCTGATCAAGATATTAGACCTTTTAACTACTGTTTTGTAATTGTATGTCCATGTTATTGAATTTAATGCAAAACACAGTTTATTCATTCCAATAAGGCATTTATTTTCAGTAAAAAACTGTTTCCTTTGTCTTAACTCTAGTAACTGTTTCATAAAAGTGGATTTTCTCCCCATATTTAATCCCCTTTACCTCTTGATTTCCTAGGAACACTATGGCTCTCTCAAAGGCCTCACCCTCAGTTGGATAGGGGATGGAAACAACATTCTGCACTCCATCATGATGAGTGCTGCAAAATTCGGGATGCACCTTCAAGCAGCTACTCCAAAGGTAGGAAAACTTTCTGCCCTGAAAGAACCTCCCTGTTGATCAGATGCTATTACCCAGTGGAAACAAAGCTTCTGATCAAGGACAGCATAGCTGAAGCGACACAATTTAAGCTACATTACCAACTCCTCTATTGAATGGCTATCTGGCTTCTTAAGAGCCCAATTTTCCATTTCTATAGTGGAAGCTAGTCTTGGCTGATGCCTTTTATTCCTCGAGTCTGTGATAAAAGCACATCCAAATTATGCCTTTGAATGCCCTAATACTGGTCATTATCATATCTTTGTGTATTATCACCACACAGGCCGAAGAAAGCAGTGAAAACCAGACAATGTAGAATCCTCAGTGCTGAAAAATGGTGCTGTAATCGCTCCAACACAGCAATTTGATTTAAAAAAATAAAGAAAAAGTCAATCCTATGTAAAAAGCTCATTGCTTATATCCAACTTAAAGTTCAGCCAGGCGGCAGTGGTGCATGCCTTTAATCCCAGTACTAGGGAGGCAGAGCCAGAAGGATCTCTGTGAGTTGGGGGCCAGCCTGGTCTACAGAGCGAGATCCAGAACAGGCACCAAAAATGACACGGAGAAACCCTGTCTCGAAAAACCAAAAAAAAAAAAGAAAGAAAGAAAGAAAGAAATTAACCCAAGGGGATCAAGCCCAAGCTGACCCTGAAGGATCTGCAAGGAATGTTTTAAACACCTAGATCTGCTGCTCTATTCTCTCCATTTTGTTTCTTCCTTAGCTTCTGGTGTTCTTTCGGGAGTCTTTCAAAAAGGAAAATTTCCCTAAGAAGAAACTATTTCAGAAACTAAGTGTTGATTGTAAGAGAACTGACCATCATATTAGGTGACAATTGTATACAATGATTACATGCCAGTGTCTCTCATCAAGTCCATGTTTGTTGTGAATAGTCATACCTGTGGCTCACACCTGTGGCTCAATCTGAGCTGACTATCGGGGAACTTCAAAATTTTTCTCTCTAATTCTGCTTTTAGAATTTGACGTTTATTTACCAACTACCAGGGACATGAATTATAGCAGAAAGACAAATAGCTGAATTTTTTGAAAAGTAATCACTCAGTCCTTGAGTATCTCATGCATGTTTCACCCAAATCAAACCTGTATCTTAGGCTTTGTTTCCTCTTAACGTATCCCTGGTAGGGATTTAGGAGATTTACAGGGAACTAGTGGAAGAAGATCAGAGAAAGGAAAGAATCAAAGAAAGGTACCATTTACAGGGACCAGCCATCCTCGTCACCCTAGACCTCGGGTATTTCTGGAGATGAAAGGCATTATTGCTAAAATGTCAAGAATACTTGGAAAACCAGGATGATTTGGTCACCCTAGCGCCATGATACGTTCAGTCCAACAGAAGGAAACTTAACTTGATACAACAAGTGAGCTCTAGAGTATAAGGTATGCTTCAGAATTGTCCCAACCAGGAGACATGAGAGCAGGTTTCCATCATTCTGGACTGGTACTGCTGAGTGACAACAGGCACAGTGGAGTGGCAAGTTCTCTGGTATTTACAGTGAGAAGAGCAGCTTGGTAGCCAGAGAGTGGCCTTTGGAAAAAGGCTTCAGGTTCTGTGTTGGAAACATACCTACTCTACCCCAAACAAGTTAACAAAAGACACTACATCTTTTTCTCTAGTGTTACAGCTGAGTCAGTTTGAGTTACTGTGTCTTTCTCTCTTAGTTTCCTAGGGTGGCAAAAACAAATTACCACAAATTGAATGGCTCAAAAAGCATAGTAATATGTTGTCTGAAATCTAGGTGTGTGCACATCCATATTCCATTTGTTACTTGGCTTCTTCCTGAATTACTCCAAGCCTTTCCTCTATCATCTCCATTCTATGTCCATATATCTCTATGTGCAAATGTTCCTGTTCTTCAAAATTATAGCATATTAAATTTAATTCTACTCTTACTCACCATGACCTCATCTAAAGTACTTAAATATGCAAAGACCCTGTTTCTAAATAAAGTTACAGTCTGAGATTCCCACTGGGCATTGTGTGTGTGTGTGTGTGTGTGTGTGTGTGTGTGTGTGTGTGTGTGTGTGTGTGTGTGTGTCTGTCTGTCTGTCTGTCTGTGTGTCTGTGTCTCTGTGCATCTCTGTGTGTCTCTGTGTGTCTGTGTGTGTCTGTGTGTCTGCATGTGTGTGGTGCAGGGGGATCAAAGCCAGGGCCTCATATATTCTACCTAAATATTTTGCCACCGAATTATGCTCTATCTATAGGGCATGACTTTTCTAAGGACATTATTTGCCCAAATGTACCTGCCATGCTGTAGAACAAATGGAAAACACATGCAATACTAGCATGCTCTGGAAGCTCTATTACAGTGAATTTTAGTGACTCGGAGAGATGACCCTTACAACAATCATCATACCCCTTTCATTTAACATGCACTGAAATAAAAGCTCAGGTGTGACATGTTTGAGCACACTCTTAAGAACACTGGTTTGCAGAAAGGCTCCACATTAAGGCAAAATGTGACTGCATTTGCTTTTACAGTTAAAATGTGCATTGACAATAATTGTTCCCTGCTATAAGGTTATTTTGGAATGGTTCCATTCTGTTGAAGAAATATACAGTTTAAACAATTATTGCATGTCAAAAATGTTTTATTAACATTAAAAGAAAAATTCCAGTATTATAGAGTAATTTCCGTATTGTTCTTTTACGGAAACTCATTTAAATGATAAAGTGTACAAAAATCCACTTAAATCTTGGTGAGAGCAAAGTTTTGTTAAAAAAAATCCTGCTGTTAAGTCTCATAGTGCAGAAGTTGGTCCATCAATTTGTAAGTCTTTACTTGTTAGTAGAACTATTTCCCTTAAAGATAAAGCTAGGAGATTTATTGCAAATTTAAGAAACATTGAACAGCTTCCAAAGTCCTAAGTAATCCATTTCCTCATGCCTCAACCAAGAATAACTTACATGTTCAAAAACTAAGGATTTTGTCCATGATTTGCAGCAGTGTTCCATAAGCCATTGACGGTAATGCTTTTTAACACTGTTCTAAGTGAATATTTAAACTGGGTTTGTTAATCACCTTCTTCGTCTGGTTTATGGAGAAGCCAATGGGTGGTATAGTACTGAAAACTGAGACGTAGGAGAAGAATCTGTCTCTGCATTCTAAGTCACAGCTCGGGGTGTGCAAGGTTGGATGATTTCCTAATTTCCAAGCCTCTCTGTCAGTTCTCTAAGTACTTATTGATTCCTCCTCTAAGAATGATTATTTTTAAAGGTCCAAAACCTGCTCTCTGTGGGGAAGACTACATTTTCAGAGCAGTAGGAACTTGGTGTAATATCCAAGTCTCTTTACTTGTGTTTACTAGCACAATTGTTCACACCATTTGTTACCAAATTCACAAACCTTTACTAATTACTTTCCCCAAACCCCTACAAACCAGGCTCTGAAAGCTCATGGCATTTTGAGCATAACAAAACTTGCTTTAAAATGTCTTCAGCTATCATAATCAATATCTCAGCAATTTCTTTCCTCCAGAAATTGATGATGGGAGAACAATTGTAGACAGTATGTGTAAAGAAGTCAGATTTCAAATGAACAGACCTGAGCATGCCTGTCACAAGCTGATGTTCTTGGAAAGTAGAATCTGAGAGTTTAGTGTGTAAAATGTATAGGATGCCAATGACAGTGTGTCCTTGAAATCAGTGGCTATGGAAAAGGGCAGGGTAAGGAAGCAGGAGTGTGCAGGGGGAGAAGTTGAGATATGATGTGTTCCCAACCTACAGTTTCAGTCGACCTACAGAGCATTTTGTATATGGAACGATCAATTGGAACAGTCTGGGCTTGGGCAGAGAGGCTCTGATTTTCATATATTCCTATCAATCAATCCTTGAATATATGGGGCCCTAGAAGGCTATGTTTGCTTGAGTGAGGTGATCTTCTATAGATGAGTCAATGTCCAAAAGGGACTGGATAAAGCCACCTTCTGGCACTACCATAGCAACTGAGAGGAGTAAGTCCTTTAATCATGATTATTCATATTGGTGGGGGTGTGAAGAGGATATCACAACACTGAGCAGAAATTCATACTTAAAATGTACAAAAATTGATTCATAATAAATGCTAGGCATTCAAAAATGAGAAATGTGACTCTTCTCCCACCCAGAGAGGCCTGTCTCAAGGACCTAGGTCATGGGGCACAACTAGTGTCCCCCTGCCCCCACCCAAGCAGGGCAGCAGGGAAGACTCCTGTGGGCAGGCCTCCCCACCAACACCCCAATTTGGACCCTGAAATGTACAAGACCTACTCCCTCCCTCAAACCCACCCACACACCCATACCCTACCCCTTGACCTCAGCAGCTCCCTGAGATGAAGAATCTGCCAGCTCTTATTAGACCAAGAGTGGCTAACTGAGACACAGAATGGGCCAGCCCCAATTGGACCAAGAGCTCTGATTAGACCAAAAGTGCCCCCCTGAGACACAGACACAGTAAGCACAAATTGGACCAAGAGCAGCTCCCTCAGACACAAACACCTCTTGCACCTATTGGAGGAAGAGATGGGTAGACTTCAGTGAAAAAACACATACAACTAAAGAGAAATACAGCACCACCAGAACCTAGCAGTTCTACAACAGCAAGACCTGAACTTCACAACATAGAAGAAGCAAGACTTGAACACACCAACACAGAAGAAATAGGGGAAATTGACCTTAAAAATGACTTTAAGAAGATGATAGAGGCCTTTAAAGAGGAAATGAAAAATTCCCTTAAAGAAATTGAGGAAAAGAAAAATAAAAAAATGGAAGAAATCAATAAATCCCTTAAAGAAAACCAAGAATACCAAGAAAAAGCAATTAAACAGGTGAAGGAAACAGCTCAAGATCTGAAATTGAAATAAAAGCACTGAAGAAGACACAAACTGAGGGGATGCTGGAAATGGAAAATCTGAATAAATGAACAGGAACTACAGATGCAAGCATAACCATCAGAATACAAGAGATAGAAGAGAGAATCTCTGGTGT